AAACATCAAATTGCAAGTTAAAAAAAAAAAAAGAAAAAAGAGGGGGGGAAGGAAGAAGGGGGGGCAGAGAAACAAGAAAAGCTGGAGAGAAGTGCAGGTTGAATCTTGACAGTCAGCAATGGAGATGCATTCATGCCTCTTAAACGCTTGCTAAAGATGAATCCATTGAAAGCTCGAAGCACAGTAATTTTGCTGACATTACGGCACACCTGTAAAACCCAAACAATGCTTTGTAACTCAGAGCCCCAGCCATCACGCGCCCGGATCTCATGTCTTTCGTTGTGGGCAGGCAGGCGAGGTGGTAACTGATCTCTCCCCATCACAGCCACAACTACTCAAGATAGATTCCCTCGATGTTCCTTGTTGTTGTTGTTGCTGCACGAAGTAGCTACTATTCCTTCAATGAAAAATCCCCCAACCATGCGAAAAGCTCCTCCAGTCTGAGCCAAGCTGAAAATAAAGTGTTGGGCCGAGGAGGAGGATATTGTGGGTGGGGGTGTTGCTTGGGCAATTGTTTGCTTGCATGCATGGCGAAGGGGTGGGGGGGCGCGAAGGCCGGTCAACCCCACATCAAGAAATATGGATTTAGGGAGGGTAACGAGGCGCAGTCGAAAGAAGAGGCTGTATGTCTTTTCTCAGTATTTAAACGTGTGCTTAATGTGGTGCTCAGTGAAATGGCTAATCTGATAATGGGAAGAGTGTTTGCTGTAGTATTCTGTGAAATGTTTACCACAGTATTTCATGGGGATTGTGTTTGGTAAAAAAAAGAGAGAGAGAGAGCAGGAATCACTCTAGCGTACAGGAAAACGTTCATTGCACAATATAGTGGGGATGTTAAGAGGTTTATTTAGACGTGCATTTAGGGCAGTGTGGAAAAAGAGTTAAGCATGGGGCATTTTATTAATATTTTTCAGGGTGGGGCTGAGTTTAACACGCATGGAAATGACGAATAAGCAAAGTTACCGAGAGCTGGACATTGGAGCAGATCCTCGCCCGACTCCTAATATGACACGTTTGCTTAAGTACTTTGTCGAATTGAATTGGACTCATGGTTAAACAATCCAGCTAGGTGGGTAATTCATAATTCATTATACCATTTATCCAGCAGCTTTCTGCCTCCTCTCTGCTTGTTGATTGTCTCCGAGGCCGTTCCCTCACATCAACTCATTGTTCAGAATCATTCACTGGATAATTTCAGCCATGGAAAAAACCTCTCGATCTGTAGCTCATTGGTAAATCATTTGCTATAAACACAAACTAGATACTTGGGGGGCCGAATACTCCAATAACGTAAATTGGTTTAATATCATCAGCTTCACTGGACTCACGCTGACTGATGGCAACTGATCCTCACATTTAGAGGAGAGTTGGATTTGATTTGGTTGTGCAGGTCTCGCCATGATCTTCTGTTTTCTGGCCAGATAAAGATAAGGAGTTGTAGCCGTGCTCGCACGGGTTGACACCCGTGAACCACTCTCGTCCAAAAGTATTGTGTGAATATCGTATTTTATTGGCACCCTGAAAGATCCTGAACTGTGAGTCTGGAGCCCAGCTGGCGCCCTTGCAACTTTGCCAGGGAGCCCGTTGGTTTCTGAGGGTGGGAACAGATTGTCCCAGAGAGTTGAAGGTGTCATGAAATCTGTTGAAAGAATGTGACTGTTTAACTTGAAGTCCGCTTGTTAAAAAAATGGAAATTGAATAAAAATTGCAGTGTGTGTGTGTGTGTGTGTGTGTGTGTGTGTGTGTATAGCCTGTACAATCTGGTCAAAGACAACCTAAGGACAAAAGAGATGGGTGTGTCTCACATAGGTGACAATGCCTAAAAGCAATTATTGGTACGCAGCCTAATTCTTTTTTATTATTATTAACAAAAATAGCTTAATTCGTACAAGATGTTTGGGGGTGTCAAGGTGTGTGGCCTACACCTTAATACCATTATACTACTTTGGTAACATGTTCTTAGGCTGTGAATTTGAGATGCCCCCATATTAAATTTGCTAACATTTGTGGCCTGAATCGGAGCAAGATGTACTTTGGTTCAACCAGATCCATGAGAGTCCCTGAAATAAGGTAAAAGGTAAAGGACCCCTGGGTGGTTAAGTCCAGTCAAAGGCGACTATGGGGTCATGGCACTCATCTGGCTTTCAGGCCGAAGGAGCCGGCGTTTGTCCACAGACAGCTTTCCGGGCCATGTGGCCAGCATGACTAAACCGCTTCTGGCGCAACAGGACATGGTGATGGACACCAGAGTGCACAGAAACGCCGTTTACCTTCCCGCCGCAGCGGTACCTATTTATCTACTTGCACTGGTGTGCTTTTGAACTGCTTGGTTGGCAGGAGCTGGGACAGAGCAATGGGAGCTCACTCCATCGCGGGGATTTGAACCACCACCCTTCTGATCGGTAAGCCCAAGAGGCTCAGTGGTTTAGACCACAGCGCCACCCATGTCTCCGAACCCCTGAAATAGCCCTGAATAATCAAAGGTTTTTATCCCTCCTGCAACAACTCACTTTATGAGCATAACATCAGTATCTGACCTGATACCCTGAGACCCAGAGCTGGTAAGAGGTTATCTGGTTGCCTACTTGCCGGAAGATACGAAAGATGCGAGGGTCTAACTCCTCAACAGTTTTCAACTTTTCAAGATTCATTTGATGACAATGGTTAATTGATGTCTGCTTTTAACTTTCGTATGGTCTTATGCAGTCCTATTTTTCTAGAAAAAGAGGTGCCGGAATTCCCCCTTGTTCTCTTCTAATGGCAATGGTTTCCACCTGAGAGATGCCAGCTGTGAGCCCTGGTGAGTTCCAGCTAGGGAAAAAAGCCTGGTTTTATGTTTGATTGCTGTAAGCTGCTTTGACTCTTTTAGGACACAGCAGTATACAAATATTTTTTTATAAATAAATACATATTCCCCAGCCCCACTGACGCTAATGGGAGGAATTTTTTTAAAAAGTATTATTATTATTATTATTATTATTATTATTTACTGTTATTCGTCCAAGGATCACAGGGCAGTTTAAAGTATAAAGTTGTATAAAGAAGAACGTCACCAATGAAAATCAGAAGAAAAGGAACCCAAGCAGGACTGTGGATCAGACAATTTGTCCGCTTGGCGAATACTTCCCACAAACTAGCGGGAATGCTCCAAAATAAGCAGTTGGGTTTTTTTACCATGGCATTGACGTATTTGTGATCAAGTGTGATTGCAGTACTGCTGTGGTCGGCAGTGTTGCCAGCTGACCAGAAAAAGCTGACCTAGCCTGCTCTTGTGCTTTCAACAGTACCTCGATCAGAAATGAGTTGGTGATGCTCTTCAGAGTCACGAGATAAATAATTGCTACGGATCCGTCTCTTTTTCAAGGGGAGAGTTACAAGGTTGGCACCTAGCCTTTCTTGTGTCTTATGATAAGAGCTGCAGTTTGCGTTTACAAAATAATGCCCATTCCCCCTTGGAAAGTTGGTCCGTGAACCACTAACTTTTCTACAGCTAGTTTTAAAATAAGTCCTCTGTGTGTTTAAAAAATCTAATATAATTTTCAGCCAAAATGTCCTTGGGAAGAACAAAATATTTCCCTGTTTTTAATAGCAGGGTGTGTGTGTGTGCTAAAATACAGACATATTTTGGAGGAAAATCTGGAATATTTCCATTGGAGCGGAACCCCCACAAAGTGTTTATTATTATTATTATTATTATTAATAATAATAAATGAGTTTCATCCACAAAATATAACTCCCCCTTCACACACACACACACCCCTGTTTGGAATATGCAGACAGTAGCCTTGATGCTTTTGAAAATAATGAGCATTTTTATAGCTTCCCTTTGTCTATCATATAAATTCAGGCCTTACAAAATATGGTTATTAAGGATTCTGTGGCATGTTTTGAAACAGGAGGGTTGTTCTAGCAGTCATAGAGGCTTGGCTACATTCCAGCATGTATAATTACATTCTCTTGGTCTCTCCACTATCTTTCAGTTCTACCGGGTTGGCAAGTATTTGGGGGGGGGGGGTGGCGGCGACGAGAGAGAATGACTTTTTGCTTGCACTCCAGAACATCATCTCCTGCCTAGTGCTTTGACTACAGAGAGGCTGCTACGATCCTACTCTGGAGGTGGCTGCTTTTGTTGACAAGGGAAGCAGGAGCCAATATATTTTCTTCAGTTTATTTTACCATAATAATATGCTGCATTTAAAGTTCTCCTTTTCTCGTTTCAGGGCTTTCAGGGTCCAATTATTAGAAAAGAAATCCATTTGATTCACTTTTACATTGATTAATTTGTATTGTCTCAGTTTCCCACTCCATTTTAGGGGAAAAGACTAATAATAATAATAATAATAATAATAATAATAATAATAATAATATGCTGCCCATCTGATTGGGTTGCCCCAGCCGCTCCGGGCGGCTCCCAACAAAATATTAAAAACACAAGACAACATCAACCTTTAAAAACTTCCCTAAGTATCCTAGGGATGGAGAAGTTGGTCAATTTGGGTTTGTCTCGTTTTTATTTTTTAACAATCTTCAGATCAATTTGCCACATTTCTGAATCAGTATGCATGAAAAAAATACTCATGAATATTTGTCTGTACTTTAATGTACATTTCTTCTAATATACACATTATTGTGTACAGTGTTGCCTAGTTTACACAGTTTTGCAAGCAATTTCCCCTTCAATGCACTTTGTATACTATTTTCATGATTCTTGATGCGCTCATATACTCCTTTTTCTTCCTTGGAGAACAGCATCATACAAGCGCAAATTTCCAAATATAGCTGTGTTCCAGTTCATATATTGTTTTGAAATATGAAAACCAGGTGAATTCAGATTAAAATACAAACTGAACCTATTTCTTGCCATACCTCAAGCCCCATTTTTCAAGGATAAGGTGGGTTCCTGTGTCTCCAGCCTTGCTCCTTAAGTCAAAAAGCTGGATATATACATAGCAGAAGAATCTTCACCAAGCTGCAACTATTACTCTTCCTTAACTGTAAAGATCCCATATCAAAGTTGAGAAGTAGTACCTCTAGGCTCTAACCAAGATATAGGATGGTGAAAGAAAGAAGAAATGGGATTTGTTTAAACCCGTCCGCTATAAAGCCAAGTGGTGATAATTGCTTTTTAGAGCATGTAGATCAGGTTTGGGGAACCTTTGGCCGTCCATGTGGCTGTACTACAACTCCCATCAGCCCCAGCAAGCATTGCAACAGTTGGGAGCTGTAATTCGACAAGTGCCAGAAAAGTTGAGATGCAACTCAGCTTGTATCACTCGGAGAAGCGTTTTCATCTCGGGCTTGCCGATCGGAAGGTCGGCGGTTCGAATCCCAGCGACAGGGTGAGCTCCTGTTGCTCTGCCCCTGCTCCTGCCAACCTAGCAGTTTGAAAGCACGCCAGTGCAAGTAGATAAATAGGTACCACTGCAGCGGGAAGGTAAACAGCGTTTCCGTGTGCTCTGGCACTCGTCACAGTGTTGCTGTCGCTCCAGAAGCGGTTTAGTCTTGCTGGCCACATGACTCGGAAAGCTGTCTGTGGACAAATGCCGGCTCCCTCAGCCTGAAAGTGAGATGAGCACCACAACCCCATTGTCACCTTTGACTGGACTTAACCATCCAGGGATCCTTTACCTTTGAGATAGTGCAATCAGACTTTTTAAAAAAGAAAAATGCTTTGTGCATCTGCGTCTAGTCTTGCCCCTTTCTAAAATGTATTAATTGGTGTGTGTTTTTCTTTTTTGTAAATCTACCAAAGAATGAAATAAAATTGGGATTAAGGGGTTTTCTTAGTGTAGTGTGTGTGCCGTGTCCCATTGGGGAAGTGGTGGCGGCACTTGCCCTTGTTTTGATAGGAAATTATAACAATAACAATAATAAATTATATGCAGCCCATCTGATTGGGTTTCCCCAGCCACTCTGGGAGGCTCCTAACAGAATATTCAAAGCACGGCAAAACATCAAACACTAAAAACTTCCCTAAACAGGGCTGCCTTCAGATGTCCCCTAAAAGTCAGATAGTTGTTTATTTCCTTGACATCTGGTGGAAGGGCATTCCACAAGGTGGGTGCCACTACCGAGAAGGCCCTCTGCCTGGTTCCCTGTAACCTCACTTCTTGCAGGGAGGGAACTGCCAGAAGGCCCTCGGCACTGGACCTTAGTGTCCGGGCAGAACAGTGGGGGTGGAGATGCTCCTTCAGGTATACTGGACCGAGTCCATTTAGGGCTTTAAAGGTCAGCACCAACACTTTGAATTGTGCTCGGAAACGTACTGGGAGCTAATGTAGGTCTTTCAGGACCGGTGTTATGTGGTCCTGGCGGCCACTCCCAGTCACCAGTCTAGCTGCTGCATTCTGGATTAGTTGTAGTTTCCAGGTCACCTTCAAAGATAGCCCCACATAGAGCGCATTGCAGTAGTCCAAGTGAGAGATAACCAGAGCATGCACCACTCTGGCGAGACAGTCTGTGGGCAGGTAGGGTGATCAAAGGAGTCAGCCTCCCATGGCTAGGCATAGTTTTCCTTCTCATGAACCAGAGAGCAGTGCCAAGGTAGCTCAGTACCTCTTTGTTCTCTCCGGAGACAGGGGAGCACAAGCGCTGCCGCAATATAGGGCAGGATAGACGACTGTGGGGCTATGTGGAAGGCCATCGAAGATGACTCAGACCAGCAGAAGGGATAATAAGTTGGTAGGTTTGACCTATGCATGTTATTCGTTTTTGGTTTTGTTTTTTTTTTTTAAAAAAAGAGGAGGTGGGAAAAAGCATTTTTACACCAGATCAATGCTTCCCTCAGCACTTTAATGCACCCCATTGGTGTTCTAAAACTCCAATGATGCAGTCTGTGAGAAGCTGTCATTTATTACCCACAGATGGGGTGATAATTATTGACAAGATTGTAACTAATAATTAAACCCATTTGCTCCTTTTAAACAAGTTGGTGTGAATTATTTTCAGGGAGTTCTGCAGCAGGGCTGTGGTCACTCTTGCCTTGTGGGTAGAATTATAATTCAGGCTACCTGATGGTGAGGCGGGGGGGGGGAGTGGATGCTCTGGACCAAGGAGACAATTTCCCCGACAACTCCTAGGCTGGGACCTCTTTGAACCGTTCTGTTGTGGATTGGAAAGGCTTCCTTTTAATGTTCTGCATCGTGCCTAGGACAGCAAGCAGAGTGCTCATAGAAAATAATGTCCAGTTGATTAATAGATGAATCATTTCTAATCTGCTCCTCAGATGAAAAGGCAACCGGACCAGCTTGTGTAAGATCAACTGGAAACAAGAGAGCGCCAGCCCACAGGGTTACAATCCAAAAGGCACAGCACAAAAGGAAAAGGGGATGGGTAGGGAAGAGGAAAGAAAGCAAACTTAAGTGCCAGTTCTTAAAGTTCCATAGGACTTTTGTTGACCTGCTGGAATGGAAATTATCAGCAGTAGCCCCCATCTCTCCCTCTTCTGCAATGGGTACTACATTGCAGAGATGGCTCAAAAACTTCGAGATTATTATAGATAAATCATCCTAGTCAATGAAATCTGCACTCATTTAGTGGGGTTAATTTTGTGTTTTCCTGTTACCTTGACTTCTACGATGGACAGAGTGTGCATGGTCTTGTCACTTGGCCAAATATTAGAAGGAAAAACATGCATATTATCACCAAACTGAAATCTGCTCAGTGTGCTTGCAATCTGTATTTAACTAACACGCCCGTATTCCTTAATATTTCACCTATCTTTACTTCTGCCTTTTTGCTTAAACTGGGATTCAATAAGTAGCAGATCAACCAATATGTTCCAGACTTTAAAAAGTTCATTAAAAAATGGCTAGGTTGCTTTTATACTGTCCATTTGACCAGAAAATTCCTACCTTTGGTTTATAGAAAGTTTAACTCCTATTATTACCAACCTGTTGCAGTCCAGTATTTTCCATGTTGCCTTCTCCATCTTTTCTCAGAACTAATCTGTTGCACCGTTGTTGTTGTTGTTGTTGTTGTTGTTGTTGTTGTTGTTGTTGTTTTGTAGTTGAAATATAATTGCAGCACCGCTCTGCCCACTGCGGACTGGCAAACTGCTAATGACACTTCCCATAATTTTCTTTGCTTCTGAGCTTCCGCAGCTTTTAATTAGTTATTTGCTGTTCACTCACAAGGTAACAGCATAAGTGCATTGGACTTTAATTGGTTAGTTCCTGTTCCTGGTGGTTGTGGTAAGGTAAAGGGTAAAGGGACCCCTGACCGTTAGGTCCAGTCGTGGCTGACTCTGGGGTTGCGGCGCTCATCTCGCTTTATTGGCCGAGGGAGCCGGTGTACAGCTTCCGGGTCATGTGGCCAGCATGACTAAGCCGCTTCTGGCGAACCAGAGCAGCGCACGGAACGCCGTTTACCTTCCCGCCGGAGTGGTACCTATTTATCTACTTGCACTTTGACATGCTTTCGAACTGCTAGGTTGGCAGGAGCAGGGACCGAGCAACAGGAGCTCACCCCGTCGCGGGGATTCGAACCACTGACCTTCTGATCAGCAAGTCCTAGGCTCTGTGGTTTAACCCACAGTGCCACCCACATCCCTGGTGGTTGTGGTAGTTGCGTTCTAATGTCTGGTTTTCTTTCTGTACCCAGAATCACCACTCCATGTTCCCCACTCCATTTATCATGACTGCACAACTTAAAAGGGGGACAGGGACCATGAGCTGTATCTGCAAAGCAGTTGTTAAAGCCCTCTTCCTTGCAATCAAGAACATAAACTAATTGGCTAAGATGTGTTCAGGTGTGTTGTCGTGTGACTGACCAGCAAAGCACCTAAAGGAGACAGAAGCTATATTTAATGAAAAGGACATGGAGAAATTAAAATTTCGCTGAATATGACTTACCAGTAGGCGGCAAAACACTAGGATCATCGTGTTTGTCCAAATGTATGCCCCCATTTTTTAAAAGGGGGAGTTGGAATTCAAGGTGTCTTATAATAAATGATCTTGCCTCTGGGGACAGATTTTCAGGGGAAAGGTAGCAATGTACTAAGTGCCATGTGGAGCTTGCATTTTAATTCTACTTCCTGCTGATTGTGGAAATGCAATGTGTCAGCAACACAAAAGAAAGAGCCTCTTATTCAGGGGTGCAGTTGTCACACACGTTGTATCAGTTCACATACCCTCCGACATTGCTCTGGTGACAAATAGGGACGTCCCATTCCATAATGATAATTTTACTATTTATACCCAACACATCTTATTGGGTTGCCCCAGCGCTCTGAGCAGCTTCCAACAAATGTAAAAAAAATTCTAAAACATTAAACATTTTAAAAAAAACACCTCCCGATACAAGATTGCCTTCAGATGACTCAAGTTTTGGATAATTCCATACCGGCCAACATTTCTCCAAAGAAAATAGGGATGTCCTAAGGAAAAGCGGGACATTTTTGGATCAAATCAGAAACCGGGACGGCTTCTCTAAATCAGGGATGTCCCTGGAAAATAGGGACACTTGGAGAATCTGAATTCATCCATTACAGGATGGCAGAGGAGTCATGTGGCCAACTCCCCTGATCTATACTCACAATATAACATGTGAGCTAGAGCTTCCATACGAATCTCCAGTTGTGCAAAGGCGCTATTTATATAATTTCTTCCCCACCTGTTTTGGTAGCCTGTGTGTGCCCAAGCATGAGCCCAAGCTCACAAGTTATTATTTATTATTATTACAGACCCTCCAAGTGTCCCTATTTTCCAGGGATAGTCCTGGATTTACAGAAGCCATCCAGGTTTTTGATTTGATCCCGGAATGTCCTGCTTTTCCTTAGGACGTCCCTATTTTCATTGGAGAAATGTTGGAGGTTATGGAGCAGACTTCCTCAACCTCAGCCCTCCAGATGTTTTTGGCCTACAACTCCCATGATCCCTAGCTAGCATATGGTTACCAGACATCCCCTTTTCCCATTGATAGTCCCCAGATTTACAAATCAGTCCCCATACAAAATCCATTGAAGCTGAGAAGTGTCCCCGGAATCATTGAAAAAAATCTGGTAACCTTAAGCTAGCAGGACCAGTGGACAGGGATGGTGGGAATTGTAGTCTCAAAACATCTGGAGGACCAAGATTGAGGAAGCCAGTTACAGAGTTATGTGACCCCCGAGCCAAGGAGATAAGTCACTATACAACATTTAGAAGACATCTGAAGGCACCCCTGTATAGAGAAGGTTTTTTAGTGTTTAATGTTTTTTTTTTAAAATGATATTTATTAAAATTTCAAAGAATACAAGAATTACACAAAAACAAAAAACAAAAATACAAGAAAATACAAAATACTGTAAAAAGAATAAAAAACCCTTATTAAGGTATAACAAAGAAATGAAAAATAAAAAGAAACATACAAAATAAAAACAGTTAAAAACACATTAATTTTCCATAGCATATCTTCCTTACACTTATTTCCCCGGACCTCCTCGTACCTCCCTTTTTTGTATTCCAGTTCAGTTTGTTAGCTCAGCAAATCCTTACCATTAAGCTTTTACCCATTTGTAAACCTTTTTTCATATCTCTTAAAGCATTGCAGCTGGAAACCACTTAGTTTCTATCCAACATCTTTCTAAGATTCATTAATTTTACAATATTTCTGTAAATAGTCTTTAAATTTCTTCCAGTCTTCTTCCACCGACTCTTCTCCCTGGTCTCGGATTCTGCCAGTCATTTCTGCCAATTCCATGTAGTCAATCACCTTCATCTGCCATTCTTCCAGAGTGGGTAGATCTTGTGTCTTCCATAGTGTTTAATGTTTTATTATGCTTTTGTATATGTTGGAAGCTGTCCCAGAGTGACAGGGGTATTATTATTAACAACAACAACAACAACTACTACAACAACAACAATAACGACAACACATCCCTATTGTCATTGGAGAAATGTTGGAAGGTATGCTATTATTCAGTGCTGTTTTCTGGGGAGAGACAGGGGTATGCAAAGCCCTAAACATTTTGTGAATCTTTGTACTTTTGTGCATTTGCTGTATTTATTTTCCCCGATTTGAAGTTTGAAATGGTGCTTTTCTTGAGTACCCCTAAATATTTTTTTAGGGGGGGGGAAGCACTGTTATTATTCATTAGATTTTTATACAATGGTACCTTGGGTTACAAATGCTTCGGGTTACAAACTCCGCTAACCCGGAAGTAGTACCTCGGGTTGAGAACTTTGCCCCAGGACAAGAACGGAAATTCCGCGGTGGCAGCGGGAGGCCCCATTAGCAAAACCGCACCTCAGGTTAAGAATGATTTCGGGTTAAGAACGGACCTCCGGAACGAATTAAACTCGTAATCCGAGGTACCACTGTACTGTCCTCCATCTATAGACCTCAAGGTAGTTTGCAACACAATAATACCATCCGCATGTTGGGAGGAATTCCATTTTTTCCGGTACCTATTGCTAGGTTTATTCTTCTCGAACCCGGGCCACTTGAGTGTTTCCTTCCTATTCCGTCACACGCTGCATGATTACGGTTGGGAGAGTTAGAGGTGAGCCTGATGGCTCCATCTCTCCAAGACACTTCCATCCACAGGGCTGGCCCAAGACATTTGGGCACCTGAGGTGAACCACAAAATGCCACCCCACCCACCAAACCAGGGAAGAAGGAGTGAATGAGGACCTATAACAGGAACAAGGTGGGGAATAAAGATCTTCCTCAAGATCTGCTGCCCCTGTGAAACCTGCCACCTGAGGCAGCTGCTTCCTCTTGCCTCATGCATGGGCCAGCCGTGGTGAACAGGTGGGAGGAGACCAGCAGCGCCTCCTAGAAGCTGCTGAAGAGGCAGCATGGGCGGGCAGTGCTTTCCTTGAAGGCCAAATCTGCTTTCTTGTTGTGTCCTGCTAATTTACCTCTCAGAAATTTCATGCCCTTTCTGAGTTCTATGGATGAGAAGAGCACACATGCCATTTTTACATTTTTGGCCCAAATTCGCAGAAGGAAGAGTACTGTTCTTCATAGGAACTAATGCTGCGTTTTCTTTTTACGTTCTGATATTTTATGCATTCCTTGGTTACTGCATTTTGTTGTGAGGGCTTGAAATTTTGATAGAAGTTCTTACTTCAAACCTGATTTTACAGTCCACGTTAAGATTCGTCTGATTTTTATTTTTTTTTATTTTTTCGGAGGCTTCGTTATATTCATCATATTCTTTTATGTTAGAGCTCCTGATTTATTTGCAGGCTTGCCTTTTTTTATTTTTGCCCTGCTTAATGTGATTTTGTGTGATGGCCAATGGCTAAACACTTAATAAAATGACTGACTGAATTTCATTCCATTTCTATTACTCCAGTTCATGAGGTCACCCAATTCGTGCTGAATAACTTCCTAAACCTTCTCTGCATCAACAATGCTTCCTAATGGGTGAAATTATATATGGGACTAGCCTGGGTGGGTGAGGGTGGCTGGAGATTTAATTTCCATACAGTTTTTCTGAAGAAAGAAGGATGGCAATTTAGGTTGGTGCAGGAGGAAGCAAGCTTTTGAGCTTCACAGAACTCTTCATCTAATAGAATATAGCCATGCCTCCAAACAGTTCTGTGGAGAAGGATCAGGACACGATGCTCTGTCCTGTTACACTTATGTGACGTCGGAATAAGCATGGCAGGGATTCCAAGGAGGTCCTGAGACATTTGGTGAAACTATTGTAATAACGTACGGTGGGGAGGACTGGGACGTGTGTGGCACTGTGGGTTAAACCACAGAGCCTAGGACTTGCCGATCAGAAGATCGGTGGTTCGAATCCCTGCGATGGGGTGAGCTCCCGTTGCTCAGTCTCTGCTCCTGCCAGCCTAGGAGTTCGAAAGCACGTCAAAGTGCAAGTAGATAAATAGGTACTGCTCCGGCGGGAAGGTAAACGGTGTTTCCGTGTGCTGCTCTGGTTCACCAGAAGCGGCTTAGTCATGCTGGCCACATGACCCGGAAGCTGTACACCGGCTCCCTTGGCCAGTAAAGCGAGCTGAATGCCGCAACCCCAGAGTCGTCCGCGACTGGACCTAATGGTCAGGGGTCCCTTTACCTTTAGACAGTAGGGAGGAAGGTAAAGAGAGATTCAAGAAGCAGCTCTGGATCATGTTGTGAAGGAGCTCAGACCTTTCTTGCCGTGTAAGCATCTAAAAATGATTTCAGCCCAAAGCATTCAGAGGCAAATCCAGTTGAGGACCAGGCCAAAGACATTTCTCTCTTATGCTTCCTTTCCCTGTGCTGATGAGAACAGTAAACTGGAGTCAAGGCTCAGAGTCCAGACCCTCCAAATGTCCCTATTTTCCAGGGACAGTTCCGGATTTACAGAAGCCACCCCAGTTTCTGATTTGATCCCAGAATGTCCCGCTTTTCCTGTGTCCCGTTTTCCGGTTTTTCAGTGTTAGATGTTTTATTATGTTTTTATATATGTTGGAAGTTACCCAGAGAGGCTAGCACAGTGGTTTAAACCAGCGTGTTGTGGCACCCTGGGGTGCCTTGAATGATGGTCAGGGATGGGGCAAGCAACACTGGCCTCTGTCCCTCTTTCCTTCCCTCCCGCCTCTGATGCCCCCATGTGTCTCTGCCTCCCAAAGGCTTGCACAGCTCTTTATTGCAGCAGTCCTGACTATAAGCTGCACAGGCGAATGTGTGGGGTGGGGGGCAGTGGCAGAGCTAGCCGCTCCTGCACCCAGAGCGACGGGATGGGGCGATCCACCCACAGGGCGGGGCAATCCGCCCATGGGGAGATCGGCGCAGTGGCGTGATCCTCCCGGGGGGTGTCTGTTCAAGGCATGGTGGCGCGATCCTCCAGGGGGGGCGATCGCGGCGAGGCAACACGATCCTCCTGGCAGGGGTCCGATCACAGCATGGCACCATGATCCTCCCTGTGGTGCAGTGGTGTGATCCACCCAGGGGGTATTATGTCACCCCCCTCTGAGAAGTCGCCCATGGTGACCTGCCCCCACTGCCCCCCCTTCATACGCCCCCTGGTGGGGGGCAGCTCAGAGACCAAGGACAGCAGCAGCAGCTGCCTGGAGGATCTTAGAGAGAGGAGGAGGCTGAGGGTGTAAGAGTTCGACTGTGTGTATTGTGGAAAATATAATGAAAATAGTCTATAAATTGGTACTTAACCCAGTAAATAGCCAAAATCTATCATTTGCCCGATAATAAATGTTAGAGTAAAGAAAATGAAGAACAGCACTCCACCTTTGGTGAACATTTTAAAGATCAAGAGCCTTCTGAAATGATGTATAATGAATTCAAAAGGTATTGAAATACACTTTTGTGAAGAGACCAGAGCTTTCCTCTTGGGCATGGTCGTAATTGGTGCGAAGGGGAAGGTAGGATTTTTTTTTATGTATCTGACATGTGGCAAGAATACTTATTAGGAAATGCTGGAAGACACAAAAGTGCCTACCAGAAGAGATGGTGAAGAGAGGAAAGTGATGGACTATATGGAACTGTACAAGGGATGACGGCCCAGAGATTAGGATCAGGAAGAAGGGTTGATGAAGATTTGGAAAAAATTTAAATATATCTTTCAGAAACACTGTAATATAAAGAATGTTAAGAAAAAGTGGAAAGATATAGTTTCATTGTTGGCAGACAAAGTGTAATGGAATAAGTAAATGTCAAGTGTAAAGTAGGGATAGAGGAGAATTAAATGCACTTTTTCGAGATGTGCAAAATAAATAAAAAGAAAGAGAAGGTTGGAGATTTAGATCTGGTTAAACTAGAATACAAAACAGGAGGTGAGAGAAGTCATGGAAATAAGTAAAAGGAAAATATAGTTGTGTGAGTCGAATTTGATCTTTATTTTCTGCATGAATTTTTGTTTTTCATTTCTTTTTTACTGTCTGTTTTTTGTAAGATGTATGTGGTTTGTTTTTGTTTTTCTATATTTCTTTTGTAACTTTAAAATTGGAATAAATATTCTTTAAAAAAAAAAAAAAAGAAGAGGGGAGGAGGCTGAGGGAACACTCCACAAAGGAGGGTGTTTGTAAAAAGGTGAGATACTGCCAGTCCTGCAGGCAAAGGGTGAAATAACTGGAGTCCTGAGCCCCATGGTGGTGCCACAGGAAGAACGTAGTTGGTGAAGGGAGCCGTGAACTCGAAAGGGCTAGCGCAACCCTGGAAAATAGGGCCTGGACTTTGGCTGCAGCGCATTTGAGAAACCAACCCTGGGTCCACCTCTTGCCCTTTGTAGCTCTGTTGCTGCCTGTATCCGAAGTGCTGTGGAGGCAGCAGAGAGGTTAAGCACCAGCCAGCCTTTGCCGCGCAGCTCTTCTGTTGCAAGATCGCTGGGGACTCACAAGAGCGTGTGCCAGAGCATGAAGAACTGTGTTCAGCACACCAGAGACTGGCGGGTTGGTAGTTGGAGGGTGGGGGAGGCAGGAGGAGGCAATGTTCTCGATTGCATATATTTCCAGGGAGGGTGTAAATCTAATCTCTGTGCTAGCTAGGGTCCATTACCAGTGGAGGGGAGTGTTGCATTTGCATTTATTCCCCCCTCTCTAAGCACAAACCCCTTCACTGCACAGTTTAGTGTATGAAGGAGGCTGCGCATTAATTTTGCAGAGGCAGTGGATGGTGTTAATATGGCCAAGGGCACCAGGCATGTAGTTCTGTAACGCCTGTGAGGAGATAATAAATAGATCCGGATTGCACATAGAATATAGCCAGTGCTTTTCAGGTTTGCCTCCTCCTGGAATTCTCATGTTCCACTCCTTAAATCTGCAGCTCCAAATTTGCCTCAGAAACACCCAGGAAAGGTGTTTGGACATACTCGCAATTTACACCCTCCAATCAAGTATTCCGGGCTTCTGGAAAAGGATAAATGAGCAGCGGCTGTAATTTCGGCAGATTCTTTCTCTAATGACATGAACTCATTTGGTCCAGTTTGACAGACAGGCAGTTTTTAAGCAATAGCCTCAGTCGTCGTCGTCTGCAACATAGGATTATTATTTTTAATAGGTACAAGGCAGCAGTTTGCATTTAAGGCACAATCCAACATTGGAAATGTTTAGCCCTTTCTGAAGGGCTTAGTTTGGGGTTGGACTGTGGTGTGTAATAAGTGGCCTCGGTCCTGTATACCTGAAGGAGCGTCTCCACCCCCATTGTTCTGCCCGGACACTGAGATCCAGCGCCGAGGGCCTTCTGGCGGTTCCCTCATTGCGAGAAGTGAGGCTACAGGGAACCAGACAGAGGGCCTTCTCGGTAGTGGCGCCCGCCCTGTGGAACGCCCTCCCATCAGATGTCAAAGAGATAAACAATTACCTGACATTCAGAAGACATCTTAAGGCAGCCCTGTTCAGGGAAGTTTTTAATATGTAACGCTGTACTGTTTTTAACACTTGATTGGGAGCCGCCCAGAGTGGCTGGGGAAACTCAGCCAGATGGGCGGGGTATAAATAATAAATTATTATTATTATTATTATTATTATTATTATTATTATTATTGGAATAGGCTGTATCTATCACTCGAGGCCAAATTCATACATGCAGTAGCCTGGATCCTGCACATGGAGTGTGTCAGCACAGCAGAAATTGCGCTGCCTGAGCACTGTCTCGCCAGTGGTTCATGCTCTGGTTATCTCCCGCTTGGACTACTGCAGTGCGCTCTATGTGGGGCTGCCTTTGAAGGTGACTCGAAAACTACAACTAATCCAAAGTGTGGCAGCTAGACCGGTGACTGGGAGTGGCCCCCGGGACCATATAACACCGGTCCTGAAAGACCTACATTGGCTCCCAGGACGTTTCTGAGCACAATTCAAAGTGTTGGAGCTGACCTTTAAAGCCCTAAATGGCCTCAGCCCTGTATACCTGAAGTAGCGTCTCCACCCCCGTCATCGAGCCCAGACATTGAGGTCCAGCTCCGAGGGTCTTCTGGCGGTTCCCTCGTTGTGTGACATGAAGCTACAGGGAACCAGGCAGAAGGCCTTCTTGGTAGAGGAACCCACCCTATGGAATGCCCTCCCGTCCAATGTCAAGGAGATGAGTACAGTGGTACCTTGGGTTACAGACGCTTCAGGTTACAGACTCCACTAACCCAGAAATAGTACCTCGGGTTAAGAACTTTGCTTCAGGATGAGAACAGAAATCACACAGCGGTGGTGCGGCGGCAGCGGGAGGCCCCATTAGCTAAAGTGGTGCTTCAGGTTAAGAACAGTTTCAGGTTAAGAACAGACCTCTGGAACGAATTAAGTATGTTTAATAGAATCACAGGATTGTAGAGTTGGAAGACCCCTGAGGATCATCTAGTTTAACTCCCTGCAATGCAGGAATATGCAGCTGTCCCACATGGGAATTGAACCTGTGACCATGGTATTTATCAGCACCATGCTCTAACCAACTGAGCTATCCGGTGGTTTTCCAGAGGTACCAATGTAACTATATAACCTTTAGAAGACATCCGAAGGCAGCCCTGTGTAGGGAAGCTTTTCAATGTGTAATGGTTTACGTTTTATGTGTGTTGGAAGCCGCCCAGAGTGGCTGGGACAACCCAGTTAGATGTGGCTGAAGTACAATTCTATGGCATAAAGATGCTATTTTGAATTTAATTGATTAGGAGCATTGAAGTTTTAAGAGGTTGTGGAGAAGAAACAGGACAGCTTTAGTGATGGTCAGCTCATCCGGAGAGAGAGATATCACCAAAGTTGAAGAAATTTCTTCAGACAACTGGTGTGAGAAAACACTAAGGTATCTGTGCACATTTGGAACAAAGGACAGATCAAGGGGTGCCCGTTTATTGTTTCCAAATCTCTAAAAGGATGTCAGGAAGAAGAAAGAAAGAAGAACAGCTTGCCGTGCCCTGTGAGGACAAGACAAGAAGCAATTGGTATGAAGTTCAGGGATGTTGATTTAAGGTCAAAAAGCCCAGGAAGATCTTCTTAGTAACAACAACAGCAGCAGCTCAGCGACAGAACAAGCTGTCTTGCAGAGGCTCTTTACCTCAAGGAAAAATGATGGGTTTTCTCAGGTGTTCCTTAAGTATTGGATATCTCACCTTAGGGCAGGAAGCTGACCTAGGTGACCCACCCCCTGGTTCTGCTCTTCTCAGCTCCAGCCTGCTGGCCCTCCTTGAGCTTCTGGTCATGAGGGAAAGAGAGACCCCAAACCAGCTGATAAATTTCACTTCACAAATTGTCTGATGGGTTGAGCCACGTCAAAAACTCATGGGAAACCATCCTGGGACCAAGTGGCTTGTGTGCCTCATCCCTTAGGAAGGAAGGGAACCCTTTCAGCCAAGAGAGGACAGTATAATAATAATAATAATAATAATAATAATAATAATAAAAATATGCAGCCCATCTGACTGGGTTGCCCTAGCCACTCTGGGCAGCTCCCAACAAAAAAACTGAGTAAAAACAAACACAACATCAAACGCTAAAAACTTCCCTGAACAGGTCTGCCTTCAGATGTCTTTTTAAAATCACATAGCTGTTTATCTGTTCGACATCTGACAAGAGGGCATTCCACAGGGCGAGTGCACCTACCGAGAAAGCCCTCTGTCTGGTTCCTTGTAACCTCGCCTCTCGCAGTGAGGGAACCAGCAGAACACCCTTGGAGCTGGACCTCCGTGTCCAGGCAGGACGATGGGAGTGGAGATGCTCCTTTAGATATACTGGGCAAAAGCCACTTAGGGCCTTAAAGTAAGGTTCCCAGATTTTTTTCAATGAATCCGGGGACACTTTTCAACTTCAATGGATTTTGTATGGGGACTGATTTGTAAATCTGGGGACTGTTCCCGGGAAACAGGAACGTCTGGTAACCTTACTTTAAAGGTCAGCAACAACACTGTGAATTGTGCTCAGAAACGTACTGGGAGCCAATGTAGGTATTTCAGGACCGGTGTTATATGGTTCTGGCGGCTGCTCCCAGTCACCAGTCTAGCTGCCACATTCTGGATTAGTTGCACTTTCCAAGTCACCTTCAAAGGTAGCCCCACGTAGAGTGCAGTGCAGTAGTCCAAGTGGGAGATATTCAGAACATGTATCACCCTGGCAAGACAGTCTGCTGGCAGGTAGGGTCTCAGCTAGCATAAAGCTGGTAGACAGCTACCCTGGATGCAGAATTGACCTGCACCTCCATGGACAGGTGTGAGTCCAGAATGACTCCCAAGCTGCGCTCCTGGTCATTCAGGGGCACAGTTACCCCATTCAGGACCAGGGAAGTCGCCCATACCTGCCTGCCCCCTGTCCCCCAGAAACAGTACTTCTGCCTTGAATCCATCAATCGGCTGCCAAATAATAAAGACAGGAGGATACAGGAAATAGTTAATGAGTGGAGGCCTGCTCCGGGCTAGGCTAATGTTATCGGATAAATCATTAAAAACAACCCCTATACCACAACATAGCCAGTGGCTACTGTCTGAAATATGGGCATGTCCGACGTAAGGATTCGGAGAGAAAGGAGGAGAGCTTGGAGATTTCATTAGCAGGAGGGAAGCCCTTAAACTCAGACAATAGAGGAAGCTCAATATGCCTCGAGGGTTTGGTTGAGATTTCTGCGGTGCTGCCTCTCTCTGTGTGTGTTTTAACCCCTTTATTGGTCTTTATCCATAAAAAGACCCATGGGCATCGTTTTTCCACTGAAAAGCCGGCAGGACAATAGCACGGCTGGGGGAGCTATTAGGAGACACAGCGGGCTCTGGGATCGGACATGCTCCCGCCTGAGATCAGTATCTGGGAGACGGGGAGCAGGAGCCTTGGAATCTGGGGGTGGAATGAAGGGAAGGCCTCCCCCCTCCCTGGGCTCAGTTGTTATGTTAAGAGCTCTTGCCCTGCAGCAATGGTGGCAATGGGAGGCTTAGGCCAGAGGGGCCTGGCTGCTGAATGGCACGCACTCTGCATCCTTCTGTTCTCCATATGGAGGCATTGACTGGCATTTGCCTAACAGGCTCCCTCCTTACGTGCTGCCTCTTATCTCCCCCCTGCCGCGTTCACATAATCGCTTGTTTCCCCTTTTGATTAAAACCCTCTGTGTCGCCAGCATGACCACTACGGGCGCTAGGGATTTGCAGGCTGAAGAGGACGTATCTAGCTTCCAAGAGCTCACAGGGCTTGGATGGAATAGGAAGGTGTGCGGAGACAAAGCTTGGCCAACCTGGTGCCCTCCCAGTTTTATGGGCTACAACTCAGCAAGCACCGTTGCGCTGATTGAGGCAGGGGTTGTCTCAGGGTACCAGGTGAGGGCTGAAAAGGACCTCCCTCACCTGGTGCCCTCAGACGATAACTCCCATCCAAGGGCAGCACAACATCAACGGACCTCTAGCGGACCTTTGGTTTAAAAGAGGCTTTTCTTTCTGGTGGTCAGCACACTTGCCCCCAGTTCACTGGCAAAACACAGCCACTTCGGAACTCACCTTGCCCACTTTGCCAGATGGTCTGTAAAATAAATAGCATCTCTGAAATGCTCCCCCCACCCACCCCAAGATCCAGCCTGGGAATTCAGTTCTGTAAATACAGTCTTTATGATAGGCCCTTAACCATTGCAATACAGATTCAGATACAGTGGTACCTCCGGTTAAGTACTTAATTCGTTCCGGAGGTCCGATCTTAACCTGAAACTGTTCTTAACCTGAAGCACCACCTTAGCTAATGGGTCCTCTCACTGCCGCCGGAGCACAATTTCTGTTCTCATCCTGAAGCAAAGTTCTTAACCTGAAGCACTATTTCTGGGTTAGCGGAGCCTGTAACCTGAAGTGTATGTAACCTAACCTGAAGCGTATGTAACCCGAGGTACCATTGTACAGATACATATTCCACTCATTTGATCATCACCTGGTCTTAGTGAGAGGTCTTGCATGTTTCTAGCATCCTTGTGAGTGAAGCCATCGAGAATCTCGTATACATATACACATAATTCATGCAAAGAATCTTGGAAATAGAAGGGATCTTCTTGTCCTTGCTCCTTCTTGAGCCACGATCCTCCGTTATTCAAAATATGTTCCCATCACATGCTGACCTCATACCCTTCAGCATTTCTCTGATGAAAATAGGGACGTAGTTTCCCATAATGATGATGATGATGACTTTATTACTTATACCCTGTCCATTTGACTGGGTTGCCCCAGCCACTCTGGGCAGCTTCCAACCATAGCTGTCAAAGTTTCCCTTTTTTTAAGGGAAATTCCCTTATTCCGAATAGGATTCTTCTCAAGAAAAGGGAAAACTTGACAGCTATGCTTCCAACATATATAAAAACATAATAAAATCATTAAACCGCTTCTTAAAAAACCATCTTTAGACCCGGCCAGTATGGCCAACTATTGCCCAGTCTCAAATCTTCCATTCTTGGGCAAGGTGATTGAGCGCGTGGTTGCTGAACAACTCCAGGCACGCCTGGAGGATGCGGACCATTTGGATCCCTTCCAATCGGGATTCAGGCCTCACCATGGGACTGAAACTGCCTTGGTCGCACTGGTTGATGATCTCCGGCGAGCTAGGGACAAAGGTGAGAGTTGTTTCCTGGTTCTGCTGGATCTCTCAGCGGCCTTTGATACAATCGACCATAACATCCTTCTGGACCGTCTAGAGGGGCTGGGAGCTGGGGGCACTGTTATACAGTGGTTTCGCTCCTTCCTCCTGGGCCGTGTTCAGAAAGTGGTGGTGGGGGATGAGTGTTCAGACCCCTGGGCCCTCACTTGTGGGGTGCCTCAGGGTTCCGTCCTCTCCCCCATGCTTTTTAACATCTATATGAAGCCGCTGGGAGAGATCATCAGGGGATTTGGACTGGGTGTCCATCAATATGCAGATGATACCCAGCTCTACCTCTCTTTCAAATCAGAACCAGTGAAGGCGGTGAAGGTCCTGTGTGAGTGCCTGGAGGCGGTTGGAGGATGGATGGCGGCTAATGGATTGAAGTTGAATCCTGACAAGACAGAAGTATTGTTTTTGGGAGACAGGGGCGGGCTGGTGTGGAGGACTCCCTGGTCCTGAATAGGGTAACTGTGCCCCTGAAGGACCAGGTGCGCAGCCTGGGAGTCATTTTGGACTCACAGCTGTCCATGGAGGCACAGGTCAATTCTGTATCCAGGGCAGCTGTCTACCAACTCCACCTGGTACGCAGGCTGAGACCCTACCTGCCCGCGGACTGTCTCGCCAGAGTGGTGCATGCTCTGGTTATCTCCCGCTTGGACTACTGCAATGCGCTCTACGTGGGGCTACCTTTGAAGGTGACCCGGAAACTACAATTAATACAGAATGCGGCAGCTAGACTGGTGACTGGGGGGCGGCCGCCGAGACCACATAACACCGGTCTTGAAAGACCTACATTGGCTCCCAGTACGTTTCCGAGCACAATTCAAAGTGTTGGTGCTGACCTTTAAAGCCCTAAACGGCCTCGGCCCAGTATCCCTGAAG